GCCCCAGTCTATGGGATCATTGGAATGAAGACCAGAGCAGTACAACCAATCACCCAAGCTTTGCTATCAGCCACATGCCCACACTATCCTTGCCAAGGCATTTCCTGTCTCCTAAGGCAGAGGGAGAGGCGACTCCAAGAGAAGAGACCAGGTTTCTCTCACTGTCATTCTATGTTCCACGGCCTCCTGGGCTGCCAGGAGCCTTGGCCCCAGGGAGTGATTCTAGACTCAGGATCACAGATCCAGACAGGACCTTTATTCTCATCTAATCAATCCACCCCTCATGCAGGTAGTTACTAGCAGAGAGAGCATCTGAACCCTGGTCCTCCCATTCCAAACCAAAGTTCTTTCCGTAATGCCATCCTACCTTTTCTTCTTTCCCTTCTTTTTGCAATTTTAACTAATAGGAATCTCAGTTTGTCTGCTCTGATTTGTGTTGTCCTGAATATCACTCCCCTCTTCCTGCCCCACCTCACCTCTCTCTGCTCATGCTATTTTCCAGGCTTGAAACTGTCCTTTCCATTCTGTGATGGGATCCATTCTAGGCCTCCTTCCATTCGTGTAGGAGAGACGCACCCAATCTTTCTTTTTCTTGGGCTACTTTTTGTTTTCCTAAAGCTATCAGATTACCTGAAGTTCAGGGAGAGAAGGAGGGCAATATTGACCCTAAAATCCCTGGAGGGCAGAGAGTACTACTGATGGTGAAGCCCCCTGACTGGAAAATGCCTCCCCCAATCATAGTGGTGGAAGTGGTGGGGAGCTAGGGAGGGTCAACATGGGTCAATTTTTTGTTTGAGAATCTATCAGGTAACTCTTTGAGATTTACTGATCTACAGACTGGGGGGTGGTGGTTATTACTGTAAGGTGACAGAGAGGATCATCTCAATCCATTTTTGGATCAGCGATTTATCCCATAAGTAGACACGTCTGGACATAGCTGTAGTCTAACCCAAATCATGGATATTTATTTCAGTAAGAAAACACTTTTACCCCAGAACTTGCACAAGAATAATTACAGCAAGCATCTATATAGTGCTTTAAGGTTTGCAAAGCAATTTACATGTTACCTCACTGGAACCATAAAACAACCCTGGGAGGTAGATGCTATTATCATCCCCATTTTATAGATGGAGAAACTGAGGCTGAGAGAGGTTAGTAATTTGCTCAGGATCACACAACTGGTAAGTATCTAAGGCAGGATTCAAACCCAAGTCTTGCTGACTCCAAGTCCAGCACTCTTGGTCTTTCTCTTAGCCAACCCACAGATTTTCATGGAAGTTGCTGCCATCTAACAATCCTGACTCTGTGCTATTTTCACTTGGTCACTGATTGGTGGATATAATTCTTTGTGTGGGTCAACCATGAGCCTAGTGGAGCACATGAAAGCTACTGACTGGACTGAGGCATGGGGAATACTAAAAGAACTTGAAGAAGGCCGTCAGTATGTTGGGCACAGCTCAGTGGAGGTTTTTTGGAAAGGTGTAGGTGAGAACTGTGCTGGATGAGAAGGCAAGGTAGGGCTATGATCCAGGCAGGGGCAAGGAGTCCCAAGCAACCCATCAATCTTCAAGCACTTAGAAAGCACATTAGATGTGCCAGGCACTGGGCTAAGCTCTGAGAATATACAGAGAGAGCTAAGGTGGCCCTGCCCCACAGCGTCTAGAAGCCATTAAAGCATGGTCTGCATTTGGTTATTGTTGGAGCTGCTTATGAAATCCTCTATCTTATATGTTATGCCATAATATATATGGAGAGACACTGTGGTGTAGTGTGTAGACAGCCAGCCTAGGAAGCCAGGAAGACCTGGGTTCAAGGTGCTGCCTCTGGTATAGGCTGGCTGTGGGATGCTGAGCAAGTCACAGCCTTTCAGTGCTCTAGGCAAAGCTCTAAGGCTTTCAAGTATCAATATCCACAGCGAAGCTATCGAGAAGCAGAGATCCAGATGCCACCCTGAATTCCTTAAAGGGAATTTCCTCACCTGGAAGTTCTCTATACCAATGAAATCACAGATCTAGTCCCTCCTATGTACACTCCGACTACACACACACACACACACACACACACACACACACATACACACGTATATCCATCCATCCACCCACCTATCCAGTCTATTTGTCTATATCTATCTGACATCTATCTAAGCTATCTATCTGCCTTTCATAATCTCTGTATCTAAATATGTATCTAATCTATCCTTCTTATTTGTCTGTCTATTCTATTTGTCGATCTATCTAATTTAGCTAAATATCTATCTAATCTATCTATCTACTTTATTTGTCTATCTGGTATCTAATCTATTTATCCTATTTGTCTGTCTATGCATCTAATCTATGTATGTGTGTTTCTAATCTATCAATGTATCTATGTATTTATCTATGCATCTATCTAATCTGTCTATCTGCCTATCATCTATCTATCTCTATCTAAATATGCATCTATCTAATCTATCTATGTATCTATCTAATCTATTTGTTTATCTATCTGGCATCTATCTAATCTGTTTATCTATCCATCCGTCCATCCATCCATCCATCCATCTAGCTGTCCATCTGCAAGTATTTATTAAGTGGTTAATGTATATTAAGCACAACGATAAGCCCTGGGTATACAAAAAAAAGGCAAAGCCCCTCAAAGAACTTACATTCTAAGGTGGGAGTGGGGAAACATATAAAGCAAATAACTTTGTATATATGTGATTTACATCCTTCTCAAAGGACTTGAGATGACTTAAATTTTTTACTTCAAAATGGAAGGTCATCTCCAAGGGTACATTTGAACCTTGGAGTTGCCCATAGGTGATTGTGAAGAGGATTTTTACCACAAATACACATATTAATCTCACAGGCTTTTGAAGAGGAAGGAATTTTAAAGACCATTTAGATCCAACCTTTTCATTTTCTGTATGAGAAAACTGAGATCATGAGAAGTCATGGCATACTAGTGCCATAGGGTCATAGATTTGGAGTTGGAAGGGACCTTGAAAGATCATCTAGTCCAGAGCTTCATTTTTCATATGAGACTATTTGGCGGGTAGAGTTGGGGGGGGGAAGGAGGGGTGATGTCTTGCTCGAAGAAACAGAGACAACAGATAGCAGATAAAGGACTGGAATCTAGGCTCCCCATGCCAAATTCTTCTTTCTTTCTACTATGCCTCTTTGCTTTATTCTGGAACAATATGTGTGTAGTGGTATAAATTATTTTAGAGAAAGCTAAAGAAATGACTTTGTACACCTCATGTTAACCATGAGGTCTCTGCATTAGACCATAATTCAGATCTTTGACAAGGTGGCCATCTCTTCCTTTGATATTCTCCCACTCAGAAATACTTCTAGCTGACCAGCCTAGCAGACCATGATGCAACTGAATGTTTCTGGAGGTTTCCATAGTGACTGCTAATACTGTGGTTGCTGTGGTCACAGCACCAGATGTCCCAGATCCCCAAAATGATTATGCAGTTGAACGTTTATAACATTCCCAGGCTAAGTCTGGGTCTATGATTGAGGACTATGTCTATCCCAAATCCTACTGAATTGGAAGATGTGACAATGAAAATCTCAAGAAGACGGGACCTCCCCCTGGGGGGGCGCAGGGAGGGTTCAATATATTCATTCAATTAATGTTTAGTGAATGCTTACTATGTATAAGACCCTATGGGAGGTGCTCTGGGGGATATGGAGTATAAGAAATGGTCCTTGATTTTTGGGAATTTGCAACCTAGATGAGTAAACAAAACACACATGAGAAGTTAAATAAAAATGTTATGGGTAGCTCAGGCATTGTCTTGGGTCCTCATTATTTCTACTGGTGAGGACTTAGTTTAGGCATCTCTTGGATAAGGTGGGAATTCCTTGCCTTGTTTATGTGGTACCCCACTGACACTACATTGAGGATAATTGATTCCAAGCCAATTCATGCATCTGGTCTATATCCTTTGCACTTAGCCTAAAGCAGAGACGGAAGGCTGCAGAAGGACAAAGAATCAGAACTAAGAGGTTAGACAGAAGCATGTTGGCCACACTCATTCCTTTGGAAAAAATTCTCCTGCAGCCATACAGCCAGTCCAGAGAACTATGTACTCCAAAGAACCATTCTACCCCAGGGATGGTAGCTGTTGGAGATCCATAGTTAGGACAGATAGGCTGAGGATACTGACCCATCTAGAGAGGTGATCACTTATGGCAGTGGGTCAGTGAAGAAATGACCAGACCATCCAGCCAGTGATGAGTGACATATGACACCAAGGGCAATGGGAAAGGAAGTCACTCAAGTAGTCAGATGATGACCCTTGGTGATGGGCATATGACATACACTCATCATGAAACCCAAAGAATGAGGTCTGTTACAAAGGGGTGTTTCCTATTCATACATTAAGATTTTAAGATTTCTTACAAGATGTCACAACACATAAAGACCTTTTCAATGGTCCTCTTATAATAAGAATTTGGTTTTCATCAAACTTGAGTGTAAATCATTATTTTAGGGATTTAATTTGTATTTTTTTTACAAGGATGTACTTCCCAAACCAGGTAGAAAAAACGACAGTCTGGTGAAATCTACAAGGCCCTTCTCACAAGAAATTTAAAAAAAATCATAATTGAGGGAAATGTTTAATTTCAGTTAAAGGTTAGTGAAAATAAAAAATGTGATTTTTTTTTCTCTTCCAAGTTCCATGAGCCCCTGAAATCTATCCACAGATAGACCCCTGGTTAAGAACCCTGGTCTAGGGAGAGAAAATGGAGGTGAGGTAGGAAATAACCCTGAATCACATCAATAATATTGGTCTTCCATTTCCCTGTACTACTTTAATATTTATACAAGCAGTAAGGACAAGTGAAGGTGTCACTCTGCTGTTATTTGTAGCCTGGTTTCTTTTGAACTTCTCTGTTAAGGCGTAATTCCTATCTTTATGAGCCTCAGAATGATGAATGTTATATTTTATTCCCACTCTAATGTGATTTAAAATAAAATAATAATTTAAAAACCCAACATTCCAGGAGTTAATTCTTAAACAGGTTTATTGCTGGCTTTTAATCAGTAAGAATATGTTACATTGCAATATTGGATTTCAGATACACTTTCCCACATTTTATTGTGGTCCTGTTGCCACAGAGTTTCACAGAAATGAATGGCAGACACATGTCACATTCAACAGTTACACAATTCTAATGTGGAAACAGTTAACTTCAGAAAGCGGTACATGTAACTTTCCTTTCAGACCAACGACATTCTGTAAATCACTTTCTATTGCCTCCTAAAAGTCCCAAACTTTAAAACAACAACTCTTCTCTTCCAATGTTCAGCTTGACATCCCATTCTCATTTCTTTTTTATCTTGAGAATTTATACTTCTTTCTTGAAGTGATCTGCACAATAACCTTTCCCCCTTATCCCTAAAGGACCAACCTTTCCTATCTATTTTTTTCAAGCATTAAATGAATGAATCTTCTGGATTTTCTATTTCTACTGTGCTAGGCATTACTTATAAGCATAGACTGATATAAACTACAAATACTAGAACATACCATGGTCTTCCCCATTCCCCATGCCTTTCCCATAACTGCGGAGGACCTGGAACATGCCGCTTTAGACTATACTGGATTTTGCCTGCATGCATGGTATGCTGAGCCACCTGGAAGCCATCCACCATAAGCCCTTTGTAATAAATTACTCTAACTGTCCAGCAGTAAAGCAAAAATGCTCTGTTCCTCCATGTAAAAAAAAATTATCAATATTTACAGAAAGGGGGAGGGGTTGCTTTTTATAAAAAACCAAAACTAACCCCCCCAAAACTCCAAAGTTAGGGATCACATTCTATGAAGAATAACAGGAAATAAGGCATAGGGATGATTTTTCTTTTTTTAAAGACAGTGCAAATGCCATGGGAATGGGTTACAGCTTGTTATCAGAACCCACCAGGTAGGTTCCTTGCCATTCAGGTGGGGAGCTCTCCTTATGAAAAATACATTCATGCCCCAACACCCACTAACAAATGCTCTGACTACAGGGCAAGGGATGCCTTGGAATGTTAAAGCCCACACTGTTCTACCAACCGAATCTTCAAGTGCCAACTATGGCTCCCTTCCATTTTGAGAAGAAATCAAAGCCCCGAAAAGTGCCATGTCAGGATTACAAGGCCAGGGTGAGAGAACCCAGGCCTCTAGGTCCGGTGGCTGGTGCTTTGTCTGTTAGCCCAGGCCATCTGTCTCTGTGATTGTCATTGGGTGAGGGTCTGAGAAGAACATTTGTTCTGATATGTACCTGAAAAAGCAGGTCCACATTCTGGAAGGGCTTCAGGGCACATTCAACGTCAGATGTACGTTAGAACAAACCTTGAATTTGTCCAGACAACTTTGTGTGTGGACTAGAAATTCTGAGCCAGCATTAATCCCATGATTGATCCTTTGGAGAAAACCAAGGAGATTCTGACTGCAAAAGTAATGAAAGTTCATAATTTTAAGAAGCTGGAGTGAAATACCTGTAATTCGGCAAATTCAAAGGCAAAGCAGGTATATGAGGGTGGGCGGTTTACAGGAATATAGATCTAGGCCTGGAAGGAATCTCAGAAGCCATCTAGGCCAACTCACTTATTTTTAGATGAAGGAACTGAGGCCCAGAGAGGCTGACTCGCCCAAGGTCACACAGATAGTGAGTACAAGAGGGGGGACTCCAGAACCAATGTTCATTTCACTGTACCATCATTCATGAAGCAACGAGCAAAGTTTTTGCTATGTAATTACCAACTTGCTCTGACATCCTGGGGTTCTGATTGGGGTCTCTCCCCTCCTCTTCCTGCACCCCTACTTCAGGGATCCAGCAGCATGGAGGCAATCCTGTGGTCCCTCAGCCCTGTTAACGTTCTATCACTTTGTATTTAGATAACTTTTCTCCAAGGGATCCAATGTCCTGTATAAGCAAGCCCTCCTTTAATGGAGAATGATTCTCACAAGACTGGGAGGCAGGTTGGTAGGTAAATTAGACTTACGCAACTATGCAGGAGGAGATGAGGGAAAGGAAGGAGGGAGGTGATAGGAACCCAATCAGTGCAGCTTAGGCTGAGTGTTGAAATGGGTGGCGGGGAAGGGAACGAGCATTTATTAAGTGCCAACTATGTGCCAGGCATGTTGCTAAGTGCTTTACAAATATCTCATTTGAATGTAATGGACAAGGAGTCAATCCCATTTAGCCAGGCTTTGCTGTTTGGATGTAGAAGGATGTGGTAGTAGGGACCAAGAGAGAAGAAATAAGAGAAAGAGGAGACAATCTTGAGTCCCATTGTAAGGGTGGATTATTGTACTGCAAGTGGGGATTTCCATTGGAAATAATGACTCACAGACATGGTGATTTGAAGGCATGAAGTCGGTTTGTCCTAGATGCCCCTGCCAATAGCATGTGCATGTACATTATATACATACCATACCAGCAAAACAGAAAAAAATGGGGAGATCATTATCATTTCTACAACTACACAACTAATACAAACAATACTGCCTAAAAACACACACACACAAAAACAAAACCAAACATTCAGATTTGTACTTTGCCCTGCAGAGAAACTCCTTCTGATATGGTATAAATATAATATACAGACTAGGAAGTTTAACTTATCAAGATTCATTCGGGATGACAGGATGCAGCTCATCTGTGGTTTTCCCTTTCTGGACCACTCCTGAGTTACTGCATGCAACCCCACGTCAGAAAGTTTTGGTATATTTGTATGCATGGGGCAACACCAGGCATACTCCCCTTTACACACATGCACACTTATGAGGGTAATGTGCTCTGACAGACAGCTATCCTTTCCCAGAAAGCCTGCTTTCTTTCAAGATGGCCAATGACAAAGATCAAGGAAAAGGCTTGCTTCTTTTTTTTTTCATTAACCACCACCAATGGCATTGAAAATGACTGTGGATCGAGGCCAGATTGGATCAAAGTAGAAACCTTGGATGTAGTTTAGATCCTTTGAATGAATATCTCTGTAATTGGAGAGAGGGCAGAAGCAATACCATCCAATTCACCCTACATGGGGCCATGCTGCCCCGTGTCATAAGAAGAATTCTTGATCATGCCAAAAGAAACTGGGTATGTGGAACAATGGAGAAGGGTGGGTCAATGGGACTGACTTGAAAAGATTTGGGGAGAGAAGAATTCTCTTTGTGTGAAGGAGAAAGTGTTTGTTTCATTCACAGATCAAAGAGCTTTTCTGACTCTTCCAAGGAAAGCAGACCCTGTTAATTTCTGAATACTCTATTCTGGAGTTGTGAATAATGAGGAAACATTAGGAGTGGATGAGTCATCCAGGTATATAAATGACTTAATTGGGTACATATAGGGACCTAGGTACCCACATATACATCAGGACAGATACCTGGATTTATCTACTGATAAATCCACTCCTGTATGTGATATATAAAAATATTTCATATAGTAAATTGACACATGGTAATTTTTTTTGCTGACCAGCAACAAATTCCAATATTTTTCAACTGTAAACCAAGACTCAATAAATATATTGAATTCAGTAAAGAACTCAGTTTTGTCAATCTTGGTTCCTCTGGAGTTTTAAAAGTCAGGCTGAGGAGGTGGGCGGGATGGTGGGGGTCCTGGGGGCAGCCGTGCAGGAGGGGGAACGGGAGGCAGCTGTCTGGAAGGAGGCTGAAGAGACGATGGAGGAGGAGGAGGGCCCCGGGAGGCATTGTTGAGGGGGACGCTCTCGTGGCTGGGGGGTGGTCTTGGGGGCTGCTTGAAGGAAGTCGGTTTGCCATCAGATTTTACTCTGGTGAAGTTGATGCACCTTCCCTGTTGGGGACAGAAAAAGCCAATAGTTAATGAAAACTAATCAGGAATTAGTCACTGTTACAGTGGGAACGCATCACGCTGGTTTTTCTGGAATGTGGCAGGAGCAGGGAGACCTCAGTTCAAACCCTGTTTCAGACACATATTGGCTATGTGACCATGGGCAAATTATTTAACCTAAAAATGATAACTTAGAACTGAGTGGCTATTCTACACTGGTAGAAGGCATTTCCACACTGGGAAATGAATAATGGAAGTTCCTTGAAGATAGAGATTATTTCATTTTTCTCTCTGTCTTTCTATCACCTAGTTCAGGGTCTGGCATATAACGGCAATTAATTAATACTTTTTGAAATGAATTGAATTAGGAATTCCTTATATTGATGAAATCAAAAAATATCAAACAGACCATCATGATGTTCTAGGAAAAAACAAAACAAAAACAAAAACCTCAGCTTTGGCCACTCCCCTTAGTGCATTTTCAAGAGCTTTTCCATAAACAAGATGGTACTTCATGCCTGCTTTGGAAGCCTGAGCCAAAGTTGTACATCTGTAGGACAATAATCTTTAGAATATAATTGCCCACATTTATATGATACTTGGAGGCTTACAAAGTGCTTTATACAGATGACCAAGTTTGAACCTCAGAACTATCCTGTGGGGTGAATATTCATGTCAATTGCCAAAAGGAGAAAAGATGGGAGTCGTGAACTCCAGGTGCTCCAGATTTTTTTCTCAATAAGGCAGAATGGAGAGAAGGTTAGCTTTGGGGTCAGGAAGACCTCAGTTTAATTTCTGCCTATGACACATACTGGCTTTGTAACCTGGTGCAGATCACTTAACTCCAATTGCCTCCAAAAGAGAAAAGACATAAAAGCCCCCTGAATTTGATAAACGCAGGGTTTTTTAGCCTTTTTTGGTGTCATGGGCCCCTGTAGTTAGCCTGGTGAAGCCTATTCTCAACTCCTCTGAATGAAGCTTTTGAATAATTGATGGAAATGCTAAATTTCAGTCAGAGACTGGTGAAAATAAAAGATGGCATGTTTTTCCCATCCAAGTCCACGAATGCCTTGCCCTAGGCTCTTATCTATAGACCCATTAGGGGTCTGTGGACCCCAGGTGGACCCCTGATGGATATCAATGAAAGAGTTATGTATATGAAGTATTGATTAAGAGCTTACCATGTGCCAGGCACTGTGCTAAGCACTGGAGATACAAAGAAAGGTAAATTTAGAGGCAGTGAGGTAATGCAGTGGTTAGAGCCCTGGACTTGGAGGCAAGAAGACCTAAGTTCAAATCCAATCTCAGACCCTTACTGACCATATGATGCTGAACAAGTCAGTTAATTGCTGACGACCTCATTTTCTCCATCTGTAAAATAGGCCTTGGCAGCTTGTCCTGCGGCAGACTCAGACTCTAAATTGATGATGGAGCTTATACCTTGCTGATTCCTCTCAAGGTTTCACGGTAAGTAGCTGTGGTCGAGAGAGTCTGGGTTCCTTCAGCTATAAACTTGCCTCCACAAGCAATTTTTCTTTTTCTTCTTTTCCTTTTATATCTCTGAAAACTATTCATTATGCTAATAGAAAAGGGCAGCTGGAGTCCAGTCCAGGGACCCAGCCTTGCTCCGAGCTCAGCCCCAACCACTGACTAGTCCCATTTGTGTGTTCCTTTTGCCACATAGGGCAGAAGATGAATGGGCCCCACATCTTCTGGGGAGAGGGGATGCACCCTGGGTCTCCAGTTCTTTTATAAACAATCCTTAGGGCCACTGTGCTGTGTACAGGGGGGAAAACCCATCTGCTGTCAGCAATCTGGAGAGGGAGAAGGGGCCAACAATAGCAGACCCTCTCCTGATTTTCCTATATAGGGTTCATAGAGTGGGCTAAGGGAAGGTAGAGGATACACACAGGAAGGGAAAACATCTCCAGTGGTCTCTGCATTTGACCTCCAAGCCGTGCTACGGGAATCCATGGTGAGGCTGCAGCTCTTAGCTCCAGACTGCGGCGAATGTCAGAACAAGGAATAAATGGTTATTACGCCGCTCTATTTCCTCTGTGGTAACAAAACAACCAAGTAGCACATTCTCCATTCAAGTGGCAGACAGGCTCCAACTCTAACCCAAACCACACTTGGAGGGAAAAACCAAAAAAAACCAACAACAAAAAACTAAACGTGTAGTGGGAGTCACTTGGGTTTTCAATCCTGGAAACTGAAGAAGCCAGTCTCTGAGATAGGTATTAGCTCTTCCTTGCAAGACGGGAGTTTGACTGAGAGACATATGAGTTAGATCCTCGTGATTCCTGAATGTCCTACCCCGCCAACTGGCTCCAAATGACTATGGCTCAAGAAAATCTCAGTCAGTCTCTGGCTCAAAAAATCTCAATGGCTTCTTGTTGCTACTTGGATAAAATAGTAGCTCATAAGTTTGCCATTTTAAAGCCCTTCACTATCTGGCCCCATGCTCTTTGCAGACATTTCACATTACTTACTCCCTGCCAACATACTCTATCCTCTAGACAAAATGGCCTGCCTAAAAGACACCGTTGTATGTACATGTTCTCTCCTTCCCTCCTCCTAGAGTTCTTTCAACCTCTTCTGCACAAGAGACACCAGGAATCTCTTGAGTTTGAGACCTGAATCACCAACTGCCTTTTGAAAGCCTTGAACTAGATCTCTCATAAGTATCTTAAGCCAAAAGGAACTATTCCATCAGCCTCTCAGAACCCTTAGCTCAAATATGACTTTCTTCAAGAGGCCTTTCCTAATTCCTTGTTGTTAATTTCTCCCTCCCCACGTCCATTCATTGTGTATTTATTTTTTATATATCCTTTATTTACTTATCTGGGAGTATGTTGTGTCCCCCAAGTACTAGGGTTCTGAAACTGGGGTCTGTGAACTTGTTTAAAAACTTTTTATAACTATTTCAATACATTTAGCGTATTAAGATTTATTAAGCTTCATTTCTATGGAAGTAGAGTTAAGAAGACTTGAGTTTGGATTCTGTGTCACAGCTATGTGACTCTGGTAAGTAATTTGATCTCTCTCAGCCCTAATTTCTTCATCTGTAAAATGGGGGTAATAATAGCACCTAACACTCAGGATTGTTGTGGCAGATGAGATAATATATGTAAAGCACTTTGCAAAATTTAAAATGCTAGCTATTATAAGCTCCTTGGAAACAGAGACTTGGTTTTTTCTCTCTATGCTTGGCAGCTCTCACAAAGCTTAAAACAGTAAGAATTTAATAAATCCTTACAGAATTAATGAAATCACAAATGTAGTTGGCCTCAGTTTCCTCAACTGGGAAATGACAAGGTTGTTCTATGAGACATCAGAGATTCAATCAAGCTCTAAAAATGTCTGTAATTCTGATTCTATCTAACTCCTAGAGGTTGGAGAATCATTGGAAATGATCCTCTCAATGATTTCACAATTGCTGCCAAAAATTAGGGAAGGGTAGGGGTCACGAGCCAGGCCAACTGTTATTAGCTCTGGCTTCAACCTAGCTCTTCTGTTCAGGTAAATTGACTCAACGGCATCCTTACCATTTCCTGGCATAAAAAGAAAGGAGCCAAAGGTTAAATGAAATAACACTGAAAGGGAAAGCCTGAAATAAGCTAGGTTAACAAGGAGGCTTGGTGAGAATCCTGGCAGGTGCCCCAGCTTCCTCCAGGTGAATGGTAGCCTCAGACAAACTGAGACTTGGGAAAGACTTTAACTTAGAAAGGCCAAGATCACCCACTGCCTCCGGGGCCATTGCCAATCACCTTGACCTATGTCTTGCCACTGGACTGATGACTCTGGAGGAGAGAGTGAGGCTGATGACTTTGCACATCTCCGCCTCACTTGACTCCAATTCACGTGCAAGTCAAGACATCACCCTCATGATGTCATTAGTGTTCTAGAAGGATGAACATCATCAGCAAGTCCCAGGTCAAGCTGCAGCCCTCTGGTTTGCTTGTTTTTGCTAGTATCTTACCAATGCCAGGTTTATCTCTTTCAAAGGGGAGGCTTTTTTTTTTCCCTTCTGTTCTCACACCTGAACTCTCTCTGGAATCCACTTTCTCTTCTCCTGCCCCAGCACCTTGTTCATAGTAGGCACTTAATACACATTTGCTGGGTTAGACTGGATCAGATTTTTGTGTAAATTAAGCCACTGTGTAAGTACTCTGGGGAACCTCAATCTTTTATGCCTCATTTCTAATGATGCCGTGAAAGAGACTTTTCCTTGTTAAAGGAATTTCAGGCATGAACCAGCAGGTGGTGGATGTACTGGGGGTGGGGGCAGGAGTTGCTCTTTGCAGGCCTTCTGGAGGCCCAGCACTTAATAGGGCACTTGTCACTAAACAGCTGGATGCAACCAGATGTGCTACACAATGGTGAAAGTTTTGTAATAAACCCTCACTCATCAAAAAAAAATAACAGCTCACACACTACATTTGTATTTGTGCTCATTCATTTTCTTGCAGTCATCTTTGACATGGGTAGTTCTTCCAGCAGCAATAGGAGATGAGAGGGTTCAGAACTATTCTTGTATCATCCCCATTGAGAATGAATGTAAATGATAAGAGCACAATGACAACATTTATATGGTGCTTGAGGCTTACAGAGCAATGTACATATCAGCTTCTTTCATCTTTACAACAACCCATAGAGGTAGATACTACTATTATCTCCATTTTATTGTTGAGGAAATGGAGGTTGAGTGGTTAAGGGCCATGTCCAAAGTCAGTCATATAGCTTGTGTCTAGGGCAGAATTTGAACTCAGGACTTCCTGTTTCTAAGTATCCCTCCTCCTTCCCCCCCTTTCTAATCACTGTAGCATCTAGCTACAAAGGGTCATGATTTTCTGAAGGACACCTACAAGTAAGTGACAAGCCAGCTTTAAAACTCACTCCCACTGCCAACAACCTCACACAGTCTCACTACCTACCTCAAAAACCTTATAGAAAGCATTGGCACAAAGTGGCAGCTCATTCTTACTGACCCAAAGATCCCA